GAATATAAATCATCAAAGAACTAATTGATGCAACTACATACAGAGGGATAGTATGCAACCAATATTTGGAGTATATTAATCAATAAAATATTCTTAAATATTCTCAATATAGAACTTGTTCATGGTGAGAAATGTAATATTGTATCAAGCAACAGAGTAAACGATAATAAGATATATGAGATCAAAGAGTAAAGAAAGGTGTTGAGACATAAGATCGATAGCATTTTTCAAAATATAGTTAATAGTCATGAGTATAAGAGAATTGAGGTCATAAAAATGTGTCAAGAGCCACATAATAAAGTATTTCGGTTTTCTGTGTCAGGTTATGTTGATTATGCAGTGTAATATTGTGACGTAACACAAAATTAATTAATGAAATTTGAGATTATTAAAAGATACGATATATATTAAATGAACTTCTACGCGTAGTGCAATAAAATAACTATTTTACTTATTTATTTGCTGATAAAATAATAAACTAATGAATGTAATTTCAAACTTATATAAATATCTAATATAGAATTTGTGAATTATAGTACGATAAAATATTAGCATTCGCTTTAAGATCAAAATAATTATAGAAAGAAAATTTTGTATTTTAAATAAATAAATAGAATTACTATTTTTTAAATATTTTCAATACAAATACTATAAAGTTATCGGATGCAAAGTAACAATAACCAGAATCTTAAAAATAATAAAATTAAATTTGAAAAAATATGTTTATTTGAATATTCGTGTTATTTGCTGAATAATTGTTTATAAAGCTTTATTATTAGCCAAACATGATTACAATTCGAATATGTAAGCTCTATGTCCACTAATTATATTATGAGTTTTCCAATGCAGATTTTAAAGAAATTTTAAGCAGCTTCCATTTAATAATATAATTCTAAATCCTTTTAGAAAAGAAATCCAGCTGAATCAAAAGTGGCTATCTGTAAAACTAGATTTGTAAACATAAAAAAAAAGTTAAAATATATTCAAGAAGTAGATTAAGATAATTAAATATGTTTAATTAACTTTTCAAGTCCAAGTTTATTAGGAACTACAGTATTAAAAATTCAAAAATATTAGATTTTATTTAAAACAATAGTTCTACAATAATATTAAAAAAACGTAATGCTAATCTTATAATAATGTCAAATGTATCAATTAAATATTAGCTTACTTTACTATTTTCATATTCAAAATAACGAATATAATAATTTATAAAGCATACATAACTTTAAGTTCAAATTTAAAAGATTTGCAAACTTGACTTAGAGACGTTATACATATAAACTAGTTGAATATGTAAAATATGAATGTATTTTAAACTTATTTTATATTACTTGAATCACTAATAGATTCTGTTTAGCTCTTTAGATCAATTAAGATATTTTTTATTGTTTTTTTAAATGACTTCTGTATCAAAACTATTAATACCGCATCATAAAGAGGTTAATTTATAATTTAATATATAATATAAATGTGTTTGATTATATGAGCTAGGTGTTATAAAAAGAGATGAAATTAACAAAAAAAAGATCTTTAGAAAATCAATTTTTATATTATAAATCTTATTAAATCATAAGAAAATGCAAACTTTAAAGAGTTATACAGCAAAATTTTATTAAAATAACAGTATTAGTTTCTTAAGTAAAAAATATTCCTAAGCTAATTTTAGATTAGTTAGGCTTAAAAAAGAGGGTTTAAAAAAATTGTTAATTTGGTTCCTTTTTACAGCACCTAGCTTATATTACCTGGTTCTATAATTTTTTGTATAGTATTGATAACTCTATAAGGTCATTAAATAGGGTTTAACAACAGATTATCTTTTATTTGAATTGAAAAAAATGCAGTTATGTTGGTATTTCTCAACTTTAACTATTGTTTATTTTCACTTACTTATTCTTCTCTTTTCAATATAATTAAAATCTAACCAATTTGACTCCTTGAAACTTTTTTTATAAGATATAGAATCTTTTTTCTAAGAACTATTCTTGTTGCAGAAGATAATTCACTCTTCTAAAGAAAAATCATAAATCAGTTTAGGTTTAGCATGTCTAATAACCTTGAAGTTAATGATTATGCTTTTAACTAAACTCACTTCTTTAGCTTTTAAAGAATTTTGACTATATTCAGCAAATGAAATATTAGTAATATATCTCTTCTTAGTGTATTTAATATTATTACATCTCTATTGTTCTGAGAATTTCTATAGAAATTAACTAAGGTTTAATAAAATACTTTTTATTGATCATTTTTCCAACTCTTTACTCCTTTTTACCTGTCTTTTTTACTTTACACTTAGGGATATTATGTGGATCATTTTCATCATTAATTTTTGTAATTTTTGAATATTTTTGTTTAATACTTGTGCTTCCAGTCTTTTTTCGCTTTATAGATTCCACTTGAACAGAGATTTTTCTGCTACCTTTAATGCGCGCCAGAGGGTCTGAGTTATGATTGATATTGTGAAGAAAAGTAGTTAAATGAGGAATTGACTGTGATTTAGCAGCTTTATATCGTGCTGAGAATTTATCTAATACTACGCATAATTGAAGGTCTCGTTTCTTATAATCTTCCTTAATTTCTTCCAAGAAATTAATAAATGAATTCTCTGTTTGCTGCTCTGACTCTTCAATTTCGAATGAATTATTAAGATGGTGTTCTAATTCTTCAGTTTCAATTTCAGGCAATCTATTAGTTTGGTGTTCCAATTCTTTAATTTCAGGTAAGTTATTA